CCCTATGACTAGCGTCCCAGTTCCACGTAAACCCTGATGTACCACGAGCTTTTACACAGGGATATCTATGTCAAGGCTATAGCAAGAACAAACACATACACACTTCCTCCAACACGTCTAGGACATAATTCCCCCCACTAGACTGCCTCGGTCCTGGGGAGGGCAAGGGGGTTAGGCTCACAGCTTAGGTTAGTTCCTTCCCAGCATCAGTCCCACCAAGCTCCAGTCCAAAGCTCCCCGGGGCTAGCCTCCTTGGCACCCCTGCTCCTCAGGGCTTCCCTGCAGGGCTGGCTACAACACCCAGCCCGCCCTCCCAGACTTCCGGGTCCCCAGGGCTCCCGCTCCGGGGCAGGAGACTCCACTTCCTGTGTCTAGAAGTGCAAAGGCCGAAACTCGGGGCCTGCTTCTCCAGGCTACGTGGACTACGAGGGCAGAGGAGGGAAGGAGGCCGACCTCGGGTCATTCCTCCCTTGCTCCAAGATCTGCATCCTTCACCCTTGGGGCAGAACACAGTAAAAGCCCAGAGTGGGCTCAGCTTGGCCGTTTTCAAGACGCCAACATTTCCAGCTCCACAGCCAATGGAAAATGGCTGCTTCCTACCACGTGGTGAGCCAACAGGCAAAGTCCACGCATGCTCCAGTCCTCCAGTATCCCAGAAGCACTTCCCCCGGAGTCTTCCGCCTAGATCATGCCAGCTTACCTGGTCCAGGCATGCGCCGACCCCTCCTTACGTTTTTTATGAATTTTCTCAACTTTATCATGCCTTTCTGTGTTAGAGACAGTGTCCACTTCCACAACGAACATGCGGGAATCACGTAATTGACAGTAAAATGGTTTGGTCTCTTGAGGAAGAAAATCAGAGAGTCTTCATTTTCACATTTATCTCAGAGAGTTTATCTCCATGTATGCTTTAAAGTGTTGGTCTAAACCTAATTTCATCCAGATTGTTGACCAGTTTTCTCATAGTTTTTGTCAAATAGTGAGTCTTCCCAGTGACTGAGGCCTTAGGGTTTATCAAACGATACGTTACTCTTTTTGTTGTCTTATATATTATATGTACCTAATCTGTTCCACTGTGTGATTTCTCTCTCTTTTTTAAAACTAGTGCCAAATCATATTGGGGAAAAGGAAAGAGAACAAACATTTATTAAGTGCCTAGTAAGTGCCAGGCAGGATGCTAAGTACTTTACAAGTATTATCTCATTTAATCCCTTTTTAATGAATATGACTTTGCACTACCATTTCATACCTGGTCCTGCTCAGGCCTTTCTTTCCCACTTTTTTTCATAATTATCCTTGAAATTCTTGAGCTTTTAATCCTCCATATTAATTTCAATATTTTCTTTAGCTCTATAAAATATCCTTTTGGGAGTTTAATTGGTACAGCACTGAATAAAATTAATTTAGGTAGGATTGCCATTTTTATTATATGGCTTGACTGATCCAAGAGCAATTAATGTTTGGGTTTTTTTTTTTCCAATTCCTTGGATCTCTCTTTCTTTAGAGTATTTCATATAGTACCTGGGAATTTGGACATATTCTTCATCATAGTAATTAATTACTACTTGTTGAATGAATGGATGGATAAACCAATGGACAACGGACAAGTTGTGAAGAAAAGACTGGATTAAAAAGGATCCAAGAAAACTTTATTCTATCCATGAATTAAAGTTGCTTGAGGAAGTTGTCATCTGATTTTACCAGTCAATCAATCAATAAGCATTTATTAAGCACCCACTATGGGCTAAGCACTGTGCTAAGTGCTGGAGATACAAAGAAAATGTTTTTAAAAACCAGTCCCTGATCTGAAGGCACCCACTGCCTAATGGAGGAGACGATATCCAAAACCTCGTGTACATACAAGATAGAGAGAGGGGGTTTGGAAAGTAATTGTAGTAGGAAGGTGCTACAATTCTGGAGGACTGGGAAAGGCTTAGGGCAGCAGGTGGGACTTTAGTTGAGCTTTGGGAAGCTAGGAAGATGGAGATGTGGAATCAGAGAATTCCACAAATGGAGGCCGGCAAATAAAACTGTTCAGACTCAGGAGACGGAGGGTCTTGTTAAAGAAATCACAAGACATGTTGAATCTATGTCAGATTGCTTGTCTTCTTGAGGAGGGGGGAAAGGAGGGAGGAAGGAAGGGAGGGAGAAAGAGAGAAAAATGTGCAACTCAAAATATTATTTAAAAATGAATGTTGAAAATTGTCTTTACATGTAATTGGAAAAAATAAAATACTATTTACATAAAAAAGGAATGGCAAGGTGATACAGTAGCTGCTTAAGAAGTGTTTGCCCCGGGGCAGGTAGGTAGCCCAGTGGATAGAGCACTGGCCCTGGAGTCAGGAGAACCTGAGTTCAAATTCCAGCCTCAGACCAGACACTTGATACTTACTAGCTGTGTGACCCTGGGCAAGTCACTTAACCCCAATTGCCTAAAAAAAAAAAAAGAAGAAGAAGTGTTTGCCCCATTGACTTAACCCAGTAAACTTCTCTAGGTGGAAGGGGTCGTCGGGAGTGGAAAAAGTTTAAGAAGCCCTGGATAGAGCACAGAATGCTGGAGATGGAGTCAAGAAGACATTACTTAGTGGCTGTGTGACTCTGGGTAAGTCATTTAACTTCTCTGTAAAATGAAGGGGTTGGTCTCCATGGCATCTAATGTCCCAAAGCTCTAAATCTGTGATCCGATGTATGCACCAAATAAAAGTGGTGATCTTAAGAACAAAAAATAGAGAAAGAGAAAAAGAAAAGAAAAAGAGAGAATGGCGAGGTGGCCAGTGTTACTGGATCCCAGAGAACTTGGAGAGGAGTTAGGTGTTTGAAGATTGCAGAGGTAGGAAGGGGCCAGGTCACAGGGGAGGATTTGTTCTGTGAAGTTTGGATTCAGTCAAAGGGCCGAACTTGAGGGCCACATGTGGCCTTGAGGCTGCAGGTTCCCCACCCCTGGGCCAGAATATGAAGGCTTTGAAAGCCAAACAGAAGATTTTCTATTTGATCACAGAAGTAATAGAAAGCCACTGGAGTTTACTGAATGGGCGAGGGGTAATATGATCAGACTCGCCCTTTAACGAAAATCAATTTCACAGCTGAATGGACAATGGAGTAGAGTGGGGAGAGATTTGAGGCAGGAAGACCAATCATCAAGCTAACGCCATAGTGTATGTAGGCAGGAGATAATGAGGGCCTGCACCGGGATGGGTGACAGTATCAGAAGAAAGAAGGGAGCTTATATGAGAAATGTTGAGAGGGTAGGATCAACAGGACTTGGCCATTTATTGGATATGGGGGGTGAAAGGGAATGAGGAGCTGAGGTTTTGAGCCTCAGTGACTGGGCAGATGATGGTATAGTAATGTACCAACCCTTGACGGCAAAAAGGAAGTTAGGAAGAGGGGAGAGTTTTGTGGGGAAAGATATTGATGACATGATGAGTTTAAGTTGTTATAGGATATCTGGTCTGAGGTGTCCATCTGGCAGGGGGAGGTTAGGGCTGAACAAGAAGTTCTGACAGTCATCTGCATAGAAATAGATTGACATGAGATGTTCTTCTAGTAAGTTCTTCCTTGCTATACTGTTTTTTGATTTGGTTTTTTTTTTTTTGCAAAACAAAAAGACAAAAGTAATAATAGTGTGAGGGAACATACAAAATATTGCTTGTTATGAACAGTTAACTGGAATGACTTACAACGTTAAAATTACAGGTATTCTCCAACTCTTTAAGCATTATTATCTATCATTGGACACTGAAATGCAGTGGAAAAAGCATTGAACTTGAGAGTTAAGGACCTGAATGGGAATTCCTGTTGTTACTACCTGTATTGTAACAAGTTGTGACTTCTCCAGGGCTCAGCTTACTCATCTGTTAAATGAGGGGTTGTACTGGATGACTTCTATGGTCCCTCCAAGTTTTAGATCTCTAAGTATTATTATCATTATCATTGTTGTTATCATCATCATCATCATTATTATCACTTCAACTCTTCAGACCCAAAGAGATCTTGACAGGGTAGAACACTGGGCTGAATCTAACAAGATAAAATTCAATTAGAGATTAAGTGTAAAGACTTACACAGTTGGATTCCAAAAATCAACTCCACAAATATAAGATGAGGGAGACACGGAGAGACCTCATTTTTTCTGAAAAATAACTTATGGGTTTCAGTGGACTGAAAACTTAAAATGAGTCTGCAGTGTGGTATCACTGGTCAGGCAAAAAGCTGATGCAATCTTGGGCTCCATTAAGATGGACTGAGCTTCTAGAAAAAGGGAAGTGATAGTCCCACTGTTCTTTGCTCCCCTCATTTGGAATAATGAGTTCGATTCTGGGCACTACAGTTTGTTTAGTTGGGGGAGGAGACAAAGGTGTAAGGGGCAGCCCCTATGCTACCTAAGGATTACAATAGGAAGGACATTGACAAATCGAAAACTTATGGGGACAGGGACGGGGTGGGGGTGGGGGAAGGGAACGGGGTGAGGTGGAGGGCGGGGAGGCAGGGAGACAACCGGAAGAGGTTATGCCATACCAGGACTGGTTGAGTCACTTGCGTGTGTTTAGAAAACTCAGTGACAGGATAGTTGTCCTCAAGTATTTGAAGAGCTGTCACGTGGAAAAGGGATTAGATTTGTTGTGTTTGGCCCCGGAGGGCACTCAGATTTGACAGGAGGAAACAAACTTCCTCACAAAAGGGTAACGGAAGACCTTGTAAGGCAGTGAGCTCCCAGTCACTGGAAGTCTGCAAACAGTGTCTAGAGAACGGATTCCTTCTGGGTTTGGGTCGGACCTGGTGGCAAGGAGGTGCCCAGAGGCCAGGTTAGCTCAGTGGAGGAAGAGAAGTAGAGGTGAAAAGGCGGGGACTTAACAGCAATATCCCGAGAGGCAGGGCAGGGGGAGAGCCTGGAAACAAAAGAGAGGCGGAGCGAAGGGCGGGACGAAGTGTTGTTAGAGTTACCGACTGTGACGTCCGTGATAGGCTCTTGTCCGTGACGTCATCCATATGCGCCAGCCCAGCCGCGGAGTTCCACGTCGCTGTCCTGGCGCCTGCGCCCTGAGGAGGAAGAGAAAGACTGAAGATGGCGGAAGCCGACGAGCGGACGGTGGGTGAGACTGCGACCAAACCTGGGGTGAGATTAGGGCCAAGGGCAAGAGGGAGCCCGGGCGGGCCAGGGGGTTGGGAAGCGGGGGGTAAGGAGCCGAGCGCCCTCCTCGTAGGGCCTTCTTGTCTCATCCTGACGACTGTCCAATGTCTCCTTTCCCCTCTCCCCCCAACCTTCCCAGAAATGGGCCAGTGTTCTCCCTTTCCCACAGCTCTTGTTCTGTTTACTCCTTCTAACTTTATCTTCCTGCTTTGGAAGTTTCTTAAATATTTCAGAATCACAGATAGTTTAAGCTGTCATCAGGGCTCTCAGAGACCATCTAGTCCAACCCCCTTGTTTTACAGTAGAGGAAACTGAGGCCCGGGGAGGGAAAGTGACTTATCCAAGATAATCAGGATTGAACCCAGATCTCATTCTCAAGACGTTGCATTATGCCTCCAATTTTCCCAATATTTTTAATCGTATGATTACAGAACATCCTTGTGAAAATACTGCACCCCTTCCCCCTCAACTCCCTTTGGTTATTCCTTGATTTAGAGTTACAGTACCAATAGCCATGAACACTTTTGTAACTCTAATTTCTTATAGGGTAGGGGGTCCGGACCTGTGATTTCATGAACTTGTGTGGAAACTCCCTGCACAGGTGCAAACTGTCAGCTCATCTGTAACATGATCTCTTAGGATCGTGGTTTTACAGATGAGGAAAGAGGCAGAGAGGGGAAGTGACTTGCTCAGAGTCACACAGCTTACTGTGGCAGAGGCAGGACGTGAACCCAGATTCCACGATTCTAAATCCTTTAAGTAAAAGTTACTTGGAGTGCTAAGAAGTTAAGGATCATTTGTCCAGAGTTATATGGTAGTATTTTTCTGAGGCGGGTGATGGCCAGGTCTTCCTGACTGAGGTTTGCCACTGCCATAGTTATCTATAATAACTCTGGTTGTCTGTTAGGAAATTCTTCTCCATCCAAAAGATTGAACTAATTTCCAGCAACATCAGCATGTAAGTGTTCTCTCACGTCCCTGACAATTTGATACTTTGTAAGATCTGCAGTTTTAAAATTGTTTTAATTTTAGTCTTTCTTGAATTGCTAAGTAAATCTGTTCATATTTTTAGTGTGATAATTTATTTCATTGTGGAGATCAAATGAGATAATACATGTAAAATGCTTTGCAAATGTTAAACCAATATTTATGTCAGATGTTATCTATTTTTTCTTGTATCTAAGTGTTCTTTTCCCCCTCATATACTTTTTTCCAGTTCTTTATATATTTTCTGATTTATATTTATCACATACCTTTTCCCATTTTGTTGTTTTTCTTTTAATATTATATATTAATATTATGTGTTTTCTTTTAATATTATATTTCACTATATAAAAATTTTTCTTCTTTTTGGTGAGGCAGTCAGGGTTAGGTGACTTGCCCAGGGTCACACTAGTAAGTATCAAATGTCTGAGGCTGGATTTGAACTCAGGTCCTCCTGACTCCCAAGGCCGGAGCTGTATCCACTGTACCACCTAGCTGCCCCTAAAAAGTTTTTGCTTTTATATATTGACACAAAATTATACTATTTCCAGTTTTCCTCCATGTTTTTAATACTCAGTAATGTGTCTCCCTTCTTTTTTTTTAAAGTTACATGATAACTTTAATATATATTTTAAAAGAATAGCAAGTTGTACATAATAATTTTGAAATTCCATGTGTAATCATTTTTTGTATTCTATGTTATAGAAATGCTTGTTTTATTTCTTAAACTCAGAATAAAATAAATGAATAGATAACTAAATAAACAAATAAATAGATGAGTGAATAAATAAATGAATAAATAAATAGATAAATGAAATTCACAATGGTAATTACCAAACCAAGTGGTTAAAGAATAAGAAAAGACAGTTTTCAAAAAGAAACAAAAATTGTTAATAATTATTTGAAAAAAATATTCAAGTTCATTAATGAGAGAAAATGCAAATTTAAGACATTTGAGGGACCATACCATCAAGTTGGCAAAAAAAATAATTAAAAGCAACAAAATTTAGAGTTGGCAAGGTTGTGATAAAACAAGTAAATCTATTTATCACTGATGATATTTCAGATGTGTATACTCCTTTTGATCATAAATTATAGATCTAAAGTTGGAATGAACTCAAAGTTCATCCATTCCACCCCCTCCAGTTTTCACATATGAAGAAACTAAGACCTGGGTGGGGGTGGTTAAGTGACTTATCCAAGATGATCCTGGTAATAATTGCCAGAGGTAGGATTTCTATCCATATCTTCCAATGCCAAAGCCAGCACCATGTCCTATGTAACATGCTGCCTTTTAGAGAACAGTTTAACAGAGTGTGGCCATGGTTACAAAAATAACAGTAACTTCTGATCCAATAATTCCATTTGATGGATGATACCCTGAAATTTATCAAAAACAAACAAACCAAAATACCTGTTTGTTTCAAAGATTTTTCATAGCAGCACTATTTAAAATCGCAGAAAAACAATTGGAAGAAACTTAAATATGCAAAAATAAAAGAATGGTTAAATAAATTGTGGTACTAATTTAATTAATGCAATTTGCACAAAAAGTCATAACAGATAATTTAAAAACTGACAAGTATGAAGGATTTAAAGAAATCTGAAAAGTCCTTTTTGAGATAAAGGAAAGTGAAAAAAAGTAGCAGGAGAACAATGTGAATACATAAGAGAAAAGTGATTAGAAAAAGAATACTTGGAGAAATTTAAGAGTGGTTGAAAGGGTATGCTTTCTATACATTGAGATTAATTTCTTTGAATGTAGTTACAAATCAAGTTAATTAATTGCATTGATATTTATGATTGTTTATAATAAACCACTTATTCTAAAATGTAATAGTCAATCAGATCTGGTCTAATAGCTCTAGAGATGAAAAATGACTGAGAAATTTTTCCTGTGGGATTCCAAGAAAGAAAAAAGGAAGGAGAGAAGGAAGCAAAGAAAGAAGAAAGGAAGGAAAGAAGGAAGGAAGGGAGGGAGGAAGGAATGGAAGGTGGTAGGGTAGAAAAGAGAAACAGGAAAGAAGAAGGAGGGAGATAAACAAAGAAAAAAGACAGGAAGTGGGAGGGAGTGATACAGACAGAAGGAGAGAGAAATAGAGAAGAAATATGAGGGGAGAGAGAAAGATTAAAAAAAGGAAGAGAGAGAGAAAGGGGCAGAGGAGGGGTAGAATAAAAGGGAGATAAGGAGGAAAGAAATGGGGAGAGGGAAGAGAAGAAGGAAAAGGAAAATAAAATTAGAGACATTTTCCAAAAGCTGAATTTTCAAGCTAAGCAGGATTTTAGAGATCACATATCCAAAATTGGGATAACTATACTAATCCTTTTTCTCCAAGCTCTTTTTGTAAATATAAAAAAAGCCCAACTGGGCTTTATTTACTCTGTGTATTGTGAGGTATGGATTCAAATCATTCACTCTTTAGTTGTCCCACATTGTTTATTACGAAGAAATACCTTTCCCCATTGTTATATTGCTTCTAACTTGTGATGTTAAGTTCTTAAGAGAATGTAGAATTTGTTCTTTTCAGTGGATTTCGTTTTTAACCCAATAATAATTGTGCTAATTCTCACTTTGTAATGTTTTAAAATCTGATGGGATATGTCCCTCAAGATTATTTTTTAAAATATGCACATTATTGATAACCTTGCCTCCTTTTCTTGCCAATGATTTTCACTTGTAGTTTGTCAAACACTATAAAATCCCTGGAGATTTAAATCTATAATTAATTTAGGGAAATTTTTCTTGTCTAATACATTATATTTCCCATATTGCTCCATTTATCTTACCTTTTTTATTTTTCCCACTAGTTTTAATAATTTTCTTTGATCAAATTTTGTGCCTCCTAAGTAAAGTAGTATTTTTGGTCACTGTTGCTAATGAAATTTCTCTTGTTTAAAAACTGCATTTCTGTGTCATGGATATACAGTAGTACTGTTGATTTTGCTGCATTTATCCTTCACCTTCACTGAATTAATTTTTTGCATTAATTACCTATATAATTATATCACTCCAAAGAGTAATATCTTGTTTCCTGTAATTATATCTTTTATTTCTTTAATAATTATAGCTATCATTTCTGTTAATATATTAAATATAAGTAATAACAGAGAATACCCTTTCTGGTTTTTTTGTTTGTTTGTTTGTTTTTTGTTTTTGTGAGGCAATTGGGGTTAAGTGACTTGCCCAGGGTCACACAGCTAGTAAGTGTCAAGTGTCTGAGGCCGGATTTGAACTCAGGTCCTCCTGACTTTAGGGCTGGTGCTCTATCCCCTTCTCCACCTAGCTGCCCTAGAACACCCTTTCTTACTCTGTTTTAAAGAGGAATTTCACTAGGGTTTTTTCCATTAAGCATAATATTGGTTCTTGATTTTCATCAGGTCATATATTTTAGGCAACATCATAGAGAGTTGACCTGAAAGCCAAGAAGATCTGGGTTCAAGTCCTGTCTCTGATACACTGTGGCAGTGTGACCTTGCCCAAAATCATGAACCTCTGTATGCTGAAGGCAGCCCTCTAAGACTATCAGTTTCCAAGGAGGTGCTGCCTGTCCCTTTAATGGGACTTCCTCATGGTGTGCTCCCTCACCAGTGAACTCACAAGTTTCCAGGCCTGTCTCTGTCTAGAAGTTGCAGAGTTGTAAAGGGCCTTAGGGTCATTGAACCCCAAGGTTTAAAGAGTTGGGAGGCGCGTTGGGGCCCAGCTAGTCCAATATGGACCTTACCAAGAACCCCTGTTATCGGATCACTTCGAAGGGATCATTTACCTCTGCTTGCTTGGAAACCTCTAGGCTACCTTTTATTTTGCAGCTGAGGAAACCAGGGCCCAAAGAAAGAAAGGGACTTGCCTGGGTAATACCATGTCGGGATTTGAAATTGGCTCCCGTGACTTCAAAGCCAACATTGTTTCTTCTGTGCTAACCAAATTGTGGTAGAGCATGTTCAGAAAGAAACCTGCTGTACCTGATTTCCCTTAGAATCCTAATTGAGCAGATGCTAAATTTTATCAGATGCCATTTTCCCCATTAATGCAAAGAAAATTTTTATATGCTAACTCTGTGGTAGGAATGTCAACCAGTTGTCCTCCTGCAAAAATTTTCTGTACTTTCTAGTAGAAAGAGTCTAGACTTGAACCTGTAGGCCTAGGTTTAAATTTTTGCATACATTCTAGCTTCGTGGCTATACATTTAACCTCTCTGAGCTTCATTTTCCTCATTTTTTAAATGGGGAAAATGAGACACTAGAGAGACAGCATGGCACTGTATGTAGAAAACTGGCCCTGGGGCCAGGAAAACCTGGGTTCCTCTGACAAATCTCTCAAGACTGGAATTGTAAGGCACGCAGGTATTGGCCAAGGGAGTTGCTCACTGGGCACTCCCTACAATGATGTCATTACAGGTCCCCTCCCAATCCTAATGAGACTTTACTTGGCAGGTTTGTTGTGATGAAATCACTTTCTCAACCTTCCATCACTCTCTGAATGAGCTCAGTGTTGCAAAACTCAGAACCATCCAGAGTCCAGGGGTGGGGAACCTTCGGCCTCAAGGCCACATGTGGCCTTATAGGTCCTCAAGTGTGGCCCTTTGACTGAATCCAAATTTCACAGAACAAATCCACCCTTGATCCAGACACTCAAATTTCCTGCTTCAGATCCTTGATTGAGCACCAGAAGGGACCGCCAGCCTTATCCAGCTCAACCTCCTCATTTTACAAATGAGAAAGCCAAGGCTCATGGGTTAGATACAGCTCCTGTTAACATTTACTTTTTTATTGTCTTGTATCATAAAGCCCCCCCCCTTTTTTTCTCAAGCTGTAAAGAATTAGATGTAGGTGTCATTCATTGTTAAATATTAAGGTGATTTATTTCACTAGCTGATATATAAAATCTGCAAAAGACCTGGTCTCTGAAGAAAATGAAAATTGGTCTGGAGTTTTTTTTTTCTTAAGCAATTGGGGTTAAGTGACTTGCCCAGGGTCACATAGCTAGTAAGTGTCAAGTGTGTGGTCTGAGGCTGGATTTGAACTCAGGTCCTCCTGACTTCAGGGCTGGTGTTCTATCCACTGTGCCACCTAGCTGCCTCCTGGAGTTTTAATTAATTAATTTAATTCTTTTTTTTTTTTTTTTAACTTTTCCCAGTTCCTAGGTCTTTCCGATGTATCCATCTCAGAAGATATCCCTGTGGAGGGAGAGATCACAGTGCCAATGGCATCTCACTCCCAGGATGAAGACTATTCTACGTTAGATGAACCTGTGAAAGAAACCATTGTAAGTCCAGCTCTAGGAGATGTAGTGAAAGGGGCCAGCCCCAGAATTGGTAGGCCTGAGGTTGAGGGATCAAGCCTGTCCTCGAATGATTTAGAGATGAGGAAACTGAGGCCCAGAGAAGAGAAACAGCTAGTGAGTGGCAAAACTATGACTGAAATTCAGGTCTTCTGACTGACTCCAAATCTCATCTTCACTACACTATGTTTGCTTATTGAAATAACATTTAGGTTGTGTTTATAGGTGATTCTTTAACTGTTTTGGTTCATTTACCAGTTAAAATGGGAATGTTAAGAGACCAAATTTCTTTGAGTATATGACAGTGGAGCCTTTTACCAGGGGTCAGACTACTGGGCCCCTTTCAGACGTTTCTGGTAGAGATTGCAGGGTCTACTAGTGTGGCTTTTTTTTTTTTAATTTTTAATTTTTTTTAAATTTTTAACATGTGTTTTTAAAACTTTGGGTTACAAATTTTCTCCCTTCCTTCCTCCCCACCCACCCTCATTGAAAAGGCAAGCATCTCGATACAGGTTATAGATGTGTAGTCATGTAAAACACCTCCATAGTAGTCCTGTTGTGAAAAACTAAGTATATTTCCCTTCATCCTATCCTCCCCCCCATTTATTCTATTCTCTCTTTTGACTCTGTCCCTCCTCAGAAGTGTTTGCTTTTGATTATCCCCTCCCCTCTATCAACTCCCTGCTCTCTTGTCCCCTTCCCCCCTTATTTTCCTGTAAGGTAAGATAGATTTCCATACCCCATTGTATATGTTATTCCCTCCTTAAGCCAAATCCTATGAGAATAAAATTCACTCATTCCCTTTCACCTTCCCCCATTTCCCTTCCACTGTAAAAGGCTTTTCTTGTCTGTTTCATGTGAGATATTTTACCTCATTCTACTTCTCCCTTTCTCTTTCTCCCGGTATAATCTCCCACCCCTTAATTTTATTTTCCAGATATCACCCCTTCATTTTCAACTCACCTTGTGCCCTCTATCTATCTGTCTATACATACATATAATTTTTTTCCCTCCCACTACCCTAATACTGACAAAGGACTCATGAGTTACAAATATCATCTTTCCCTGCCGGAATATAAACAGTTCAACCTTAATAAGTCTCTTATGTTTTCTCTTTCCTGTTTACCTCTTCCATGTTTCACTTGAGTCTTGTATTTGAAGGTCAAATTTTATATTCAGTTCTGGTCTTTTCCACAGGAATGCTTGAAAGTCCCCTATTTCATTGAATGACCATTTTTTACCCTGAAGGATTATACTCAGTTTTGCTGGGTAGGTGATTCTAGGTTGTAGTCCTATCTCCTTTGCCCTCCAGAATATCATACTCCATGCCCTCTGGACCCTTAATGTAGAAGCTGCTAAATCTTGTGTTATCCTGATTGTGTTTCCACAATACTTGAATTGTTTCCATCTGACTGCTTGCAATATCTTCTCCTTGACCTGAGAATTCTGGACTTTGGCTACAACATTCCTAGGAGTTTTCCTTTGGGGATCTCTTTCAGTAGGTGATCAGTGGATTCTTTCAATTTCTATTTTGCCCTCTGGTTCTAAAATACCAGGGCAGTTTTCCTTGATAATTTCTTGAAAGATGATGTCTAGGCTCTTTTTTTGATCATGGCTTTCAGATAGTCCAATAATTTTCAAGTTCTCTCTCCTGGATCTATTTTCCAGGTCAGTTGTTTTTCCAATGAGATATTTCACATTCTTTTCTATTTTTTCATTCCTTTGGATTCGTGTTACAGTGTCTTGATTTCTCACATTGTCACTAGTTTCCAATTTCTCCATTCTAATTTTTAAGGAAGTATTTTCTTCAGTAAGCTTTTGGACTTCCTTTTCCATTTGGCCAATTTTGCTTTTTAAAGCATTCTTCTCCTCATTGGCTTTTTGGACCTCTTTTGCCATTTGGGTTAGGCTATTTTTTTAAGGTGTTATTTTCGTCATTATTTTTTTGGTTCTCCTTTAGCATCACTCTCAGTTTTTCCTCTGTTTCTCTTACTTGCTTCTCAAAATCCTTTTTGAGCTCTTCCATGGCCTGGGACCAATTCATATTTTTCTTAGAGGCTTTGGATATAGGAGCTTTGGCTTTGTTGTCTTCTTCTGGTTGTATGTTTTGATCTTCTTTGTCACCAAAGTAAGATAATATAGTCTAACTCTTTTTGCACTGCTTGCTCATGATCTCAGCCAATTACTTGAGTTATAAACTCTTTGTTAAGGTAGGAGTCTGTTTCCAGTGTGGAGAATGTACTGTCCCAAGCTTCAGGGGTTTGTGCAGCTGTTTTCAGAGATACTTCTAGGGACCTGTAAATTTTCAGTTCTTCCAAGATGCTGTGATCAAGGGCGGAAGTGTTTACTCCTTTCCTGGCCTGTGCTCTGGTCTGTGAGCACTCTTTTCTATCTTGGAACTGTGAAGAGGTTTTCCTCTCCACAGCCACTATAAGCTCCACCACACCAGCACTCCTCCTCGCCCCAGGACCACCACCCAGAACTGTGACCCAGATCCAAGAATGGGCAAAGCAAGAGAATCCTGCACCAGCAGAGAGATTCCTGCAATCCCCCTCTTATCAGCCACTCAATTCCCCCTCAATCTGTGGGCCAGAAGCTCAGGAAGCAGCCGCCGCCCTGGGGGCACACTCGGGGAATGGGGCTGGGACCCTGCTTCTCTCACTGCTGACACAGACTTTTCCCACTGACCTTCTAAGTTGTCTTTGCCGTTCATGGGTTGAGAAGTCTGGAAACCACCACAGCTGCCTGTGATTCATTCCTCTGAGGCCTGTTCTAGGTTTGCTGCGGCCTGCATGCCCAAGCTGCACTGCGTTCCTCTCCCAGCCTGGTGTGATAAACCTTTCCAACCAACCATCCAGGCTGTCTTGGGCTGGAAATTTGTTTCACTCTGTCTTTTTGTGGGTTCTGCTGCTTTAGAATTTGTTTAGAACCATTTTTTATAGGTATTTGGAGGGGTTTGAGGGAGAGCTCAAGGAAATCACTGCTTTTACTGCGCCATCTTGGCCCCACCCCCCAGTGTGGCTTCTAACAGCAGGAGTGTGTGTTACAAAATCAGAATTTATTCTCATTCTCCAGAACTCTTCCAACCTGAGCACAAACCTAGTGGGCCTCTAAAAGTATAGACCAGGGGTGGGGAACCTGTGGCTTTGAGGCCATATATGGCCCTCTAGGTCCTCAATTGCAGCCCTTTGAATCCAAACCTCACAGAACAAATCCCCTTTTGAGGCTGCTGTTGTATTACTGGCTGCCACCAGCCATCATACCACAGAGCATGAATTGTAATTCATAAGGATTTCTGATCATGTGGCTCGCTATTGAAAAGACTTGAAACACCCTTGGACAAAATGGTCACTCTTAGCTTTAAAATAACTTCTCTGAGCCTCAGTTTCACCATTTGTAAAATGACTAGATAATCTCTGAGGCATTCTAGTTCTACCGTTGTATTCACCTGGGTTTATATTAGACAGCAGGAGAGTGATGAGGTTGTATTGGGAACCTATCTCAGTTCACTAAGATAGTGGTTTGTGTCTTTCAGATTCGAGACCTGAAGGCTGTTGGGAAAAAATTTGTTCATGTCATGTACCCCAAAAAAAGCAATGCACTCTTGAGAGATTGTGAGTATCAGGTTTTCAAGATTCCATTCTTTCTATTGTAGCTCTGTTAGATTTTTTTAGAAAGGGAAAGGTGTTACAGGAATACACAACTTTGCATGATCCCCAAAGAAATCATAAAAGAACTCTAGGAAGAAATAGTGATTTGGCAGGAGTGACATGCTCAAGGTGGAAAGTTTCTCCTACACATTTTCATCCTTAGTGGCTAGGCACTGAGCATCTTGTCCAGAGATGGTGCCCCAATAGATGTCCCTAGCTGCTGACTTCAGAGAAGCTGCTAAGCCCAGATAAAGATGTCTGGAAAGAAAGATGGCACTTTGGCCTTTAAGGATCTCATGGAGACAGTGAGATAAACGGTCAAATCTCTCCCCATTAAATGCCTCCCAGGCATAGAAGGTGCAAAGGTAAGTAAGACAGGGTGTGTGCTCAAGAGGATCTTAAAATAGAAAATAATTGAGATTTAATAAGCAGGACTGATGCTGTTTAGGGGTTCAGGGGTCCTGGGACCCCAAAATCACAACACGCGGGTCCTGCCCGAAAGAATTTGACCCAAGCCTTCTTTCAGCCAAAGACAAGGTTTATTTAAACATCCATCATATTGGGCAGACTCTTAAGGAGTCTGAACATTAGTGAGCTATGGGCTAGATTTTAAGAATCTGAGCAGTGGCTAGATTATAAGAATCAGAGCACCTTAATGGAGACAAGATGGACCTTATATACAGAAAGACTGTGGGAGGGATCTAGGAGTGGCCAAGTAGTCCACAAGGTAATAGAATTACCAAGGATGGGAAGTGGCCTGGGGCCATAGGGAGGCAAGACAATGGAGGGGAGATTGGGTGTAGTCACAATGAAAGGCCAGTTGATGGGATTATAGCCTCAGGCAACCACCAGAGATATGACCTTGTGGGAAAGTCCAGGGTTTTTCCTTTCTGGGGCCCAGATCCCAACCCCATCAGCATGGCACACTGGAAGGGTCACTGGAGTTGTAGCCTGGTAGTTGTGTAACCTTGGACAAATCACTTCCCTTTGTGGAGCCTCAGGCTTCCTCAGAAGTTTGGGTGGGATAATTTCTAAATTCCGCTTTACCTTAAAATCCTATGTTGTCTTACCCAGAGCTGGTTACGGGTAGGCCCTAGATCTTGATTTCATTAGTGTAGGGCAGGGGCAGGGAACCTGGGGCCTGAAGGCCGCTTGTGGCCCTCTAGGTCCTCAAGTGTGGCCGTTTGACTGAATCCAAATTTCAAAGTGTGGCCTTGAGGCCGTCGCTTCCCCACCCCTGGTATACGGAAAATACCAAGAGAAATACCGTCTACCCGTGTGGAATTTCTGGTCTTTGAGGGTTCCTCAGAACTTCAAGGTGTAAGTCAATTTTGCCCAGGCTCACGTAGCCAAGATGGCTCAGCCCTGGGACCTGAACTTTGGCTCTTTGTGCTCCCAAGCTGTTAATATCAATCAAAAATCATTATTATTATTTGAAAAATCCCCCACCTTTCTAATTGTCTTTTACCATTACAAAGCGCCTTCCTGTTGTGAGTTATTAGCAAGTGAATAGATTGCCCTTTGGGCATTTCTGTTCCCCTAGGAAGCTTGCTTCTGTAGTCTGTGGCTGCTACTTTTATTGCCGCAGCTGTTTTAGTAGCTTTGCCAAATAATGAATTCTGCTTGTTTTCATTTTTCTTCCTCCAGGCTGTTATTGTGTGCTTGCTATTTGGTGGGGTTGTTTTTTCTTGTTGTTTTGGTTTGGGGTTTTGTTTTTGTTTTTGTTTTTTGAAATCCACTTTTGATGTCCTCAGATCCCCTAATCAGAACAGTTAAATTAGAAAAAGCAGGCAGAACTTAAGTTCAGCATAGGCTCAGTTTATTGATTCCTGAAGGACATTAGCCACAACCCAGGTAGGAATAAGTACCATGGAAAAATTGGCCTAGCCTGACCCTACAAGGAAGCAGATAGGCTGGGGGCCTTGGGTGGGGGGGGGCAGGGGCAGGTGAAGATGGAGATGCCTTATGCCCTGAGCCTGCTCCCCTCTCTGCTGCAGCTGGTCTACTTTTCAGCCAGATCTCACATGTTATGGCTGACAAAAGCTTGAGTACAGCTTTTAAAAAAGCATTAAGTTTGGACAGCTAGGTGGCGCAGTGGATAGAGCACGGGACCTGAGTTCAAATCAGGCCTCAGACTCTTGACACTAGCTATGTGACCTTGGGCAAGTCACTTAACCCCATTGCCTAGCCAAAAAAAAACAAAAAAAAGCATTAAGTTAACAATTAGGGCCAATAAAAGAGACTTTTAAAATGTCATTTAGTTCTGATCATTGTTCTTTAATTCATTTTTTTAAAAGTCCTGAACCTAGCTTTTCTATGTAATTGAATGGCTTCATCTTGCTATTTGCAAAGATGAGGGGTAGACCAGGGAATGGAATAAGCATTTATTAAACACCTACTATGTGCCACACACTATACTAAGCACTTTTTACAAATATTATCTCATTTGATCCTCACAACAACCCTGGGAGGTAGGTGCTATTATTAGCCCCATTTTAGAGTTGGGGAAACTGAGACAAAGGTTAAGTAACTTGCCCAGAGTCACAGAGCTAGTGTCTGAGGGTGGAGGCCCAGCACTGTGTGCGCTGTGGCATCCCCTAGCTGCTTCAGACATTTTGCCTACAGAAAGAACTCAAAATGGCTCTTAACAAATGCTTCTCTCCTCTTTGCTATATGAGATTGAGGGTAGGAGGCAGTGTGACTCGTAGCTAGAGGGCCAGCCAGCCTTGGGTTCAAGTGCCACCTCTGACAGTCTGTGACTGAGCAAGTCACTTTGCTTTCAATGCCCCGGTCGTCTGGTCCAGACTGTAAATTGCAGGCGAGTTACCAGGATGTGCCAGCGGAGGGAGCCGTCACACCAGGATAAACTGACAGGGCTGAACCAAACCCAATACAATCTGAGCCTTGAGCTTTGGTGTAGGTCTCTCTCCCGTTTTCAGGTTAGTTGAGACGTGGCCTTGAAGCAGTGCCTTATTGACTTAGAGGAATGTTAATGAGGATGAAGATGATATTTTATTTGTATTAATGGATTTTGAAATTTCTAACAAGGTTTTGCATGTATTTCATTTGATCCTTCAAACAGGCCTGTGAGTTAGGCAGGGCAGATGGTATCCCCGTTTTCTGGATGAGGGAACTAAGGCTTGGAAATAAGTGTGGGCACAAGGCCACGCGCTAATGCGGCGCAGAGCCAACTCTAGGCCAGCTTGCAAGCGCCTGGGGGGGGATTTCAGTGCTTAACACTGGACCGTGGTTCATTAGGTGAGAAATGAATGACTCAACATGGGGATGAGTCCCAGCGAGGGCAAAGTGCCAGGTGGGAGAGGAGGAAGTGGACTCAGTGGAACAGTTAGAAAGAGCGAGCAAGGGACCGCAGTAGGACAGCTTGGGTTCAGTCTGGCAGGGCCTCCTTAATGGCCGAATCTCAGGAGTGGGAGGGCCAGAACATACCAATATCAGAATGTACCTTATCGTGTTCTTCCTTTAATTTGCTAAATACAGTTTAACGTTTATCATTTTGCCTTGTAGGGGATCTCTGGGGCCCTTTGGTCCTTTGTGTTTCGCTTGCACTGTAAGTACTCATTTCTTCCTTTTGAAGTAAGCCTTTCAAAGCCATTTTGGGGCTTCAGAATTGAGGAAATGTTTGCCTGACTGATTTCACATAGAGCCTTTTCGTTGTGTTTACATAACACCATTGCCCACTCGATGGTGTCTTCTTTAGGTCCCTAAATCTAGAAAGTCTTGGGCAAGCCTTGCAAACCCATCTGTAGAAGTTTCTAGGGTTATCTCTCCTCCAACCGTGCCACCTGTGTATATCAGTCTTCTTCACATCCTGTATTAGCCATACCTGCCTTCCAATCATCCTCCCTCTCATTGTCCTGAGGAAACTAAACAATCTGTCTATAGATCAGTATAAATATAAATGAAAATCCTGCCAATTAGAGGGAGGGAGCAGACAGTTTTGTAGCAGATAAAATAGAACCCAACCTAATAGGTTGGGCCATCTCTCTTGTCTTTGATTTGAATGCCAGGACCAGTAAAACCTTTCCTGTCCTGATTGCATTAGAAACTCTGAATGATAAGATCCATGTAGCATCTATTAAGAACCACCACCACCACTACCATCATCATTGGTTATTGACATAGAGGATGCTGGCCTATCAAACACTGGACCTGAACCCAGGACTTCTGACTCTACTGCTTACTGTATGACATTGGATAAGTCATTTAGCCTCAGTTTTCTCATTTGCAAAATGGTCATATCTACTTAATAAGGTTGTGACAGTCTAATAAGATAATAAGTAAAGTGCTTTAACTTTAAAGTACTGTCCAAAAGTACTGTAAATGACAAGTAAGTTAATTTCTATAAAGCAGGAGCTCTTAACCTTTTTTGTCTCATGGACCCCTTTTTGGAAGTCTGGTGAAGCTTATGGACCTTTTATCTGAATAATATTTTTAAGTAATTGGAGAAAATGCTCAATTTCAATGAGACAGTAGTGAAAATAAAGGGGGCATTGCTTTCCCATTCAAGTTCACAGACACACACCCCCAGCCTGGAAATCAGTCCCCAGAGCCCAGGTTAACAACTTCTTATGTAAAAATAAAGAAAGGGAGGGTCTTCCCATCTGTAACCTAGTGAGCTTGACTTTAGTTCCTGACAAAATTTGAGAGCCTATTATTAATGAGATAGTTTGGGAGTGATTAGAAATGGAAATGATCACTTACAAACGAGTGTAGGTTCATCAAGAACAAATCATGTGACCTAATTTCATTTACCATTTTTGATTAGTTACTAGGGCTGGCACACCGGGAGTGTGCCAGAGTGCTGTAGTGGCTTATCAGCCTAATTAATTGGGAAAAGTCCAAATGCCTGGTTTTCAACGAGCCATTTGACAAAGCTCTCACACCATCCTTGTGGACGAGATGGAGACATGTAGACAAAGTGATGTTCGAGTTGGTGAGATTTGGCACTGCTTGCAGGCCCAGGCCTAGAGGTGTTGATTAGCAGAGTGCTTCAAAGACTGGCTTTGTTTTTGGCTCCATCCCAGTCACCACTTGTGTTAGGGACTGGGATGAAGGCATAAATGGCTTTCTTCTCCAATTGTGGAAGACACAAAGCTTTACGCTTTTCAGTATCACTAATGCATTGGCTAACCAAATTAAGGCTCCCAAAATGTCCCCAAGTTAGAATACTGGGCCACATCTAGACAGAAGGATGGGGACAGGCCTTGTGATTGATTTCCTTGAGGCAGACAATTGCTGGGTGAGGAAGGATGCTCCTTTTGTCAACTAGTGCAGGGCAGCACCTTCTCTACAACCTGAAGTCTTATCTAGAGCAGTGGGTGCTCAGTCTGAGAGGGGAACATTCCAAAGAATCGGTTCCATAAATGTTAATAGGGAACTGCTGATGAGGAACTCCTCTTCCAATGCAGGTGGGCTCTTGTTCTGAAATTTCCCATCTTCGAGAGGTCCCTAGGGCCCTGAGAGGTTTAAGTGACTTCCTGTGGTCACACTTCCAGGATGTTTCAGAGCCAAGACTTGTTCTTGAGCCTAGTTTTTACTGACTCTGAGGTCAGCTTCCTACCCACAAATGCAACCCTGCCAATGAGATCACAGCTCTGATATTTTAAAAAAAAAAAAAATTTCCAGCAGATTAGTAGTTTAAGTGGCCTCTAAGTACACAAATGAAAAATTATGCCTCTAAATGAAGTTCCACATCTATTTGCTAAACATAAGTGAATACAGATCTTTCCATTTAAAGGTAGCTAGAACTGAAACCCTAACCCAGGAGTTCCCAACAAGTCACTCAGCAACAGTGGTCTAGGGGCTCAAGCCTTTGGTCACATCACTTGTGGCTGTAACACACTTAAAATATTTGAGTTGGGATGTGCCTGAACATAAGTAGACCAGCCTTATTTCTTTATATATGAAGAACCTGAAGCCCAGAGAGGGAAACTGATTTGCCATCCAGCGAGTAAGTGGAGGCACTGGATGAGGAGTCGGGCCTCTCACCGATCTCCCCACTTAACACACTGCATCCCCTGAAATGGGGAGGTTCCTGAGCAGAGTGGAGCTCCCCCATTAACCAAGAATTTCAGGTGAGATGGCAAGGCACACATCACAGCCTTTGCCCTGCTCTGCTTGCACTGGTCATCCCCAGGCCAGGGAGGAGGCACTCCTTCCTCTCCTTGACTTTGAATCCCTCTCATCCTACAAGGCCTAGGTCACTCGGCCCTTTCTGCATGTAGCCCCAACTGCTAGTGCCCTCATTCCCCAACAACTTTGGGTTTCTTCTCTTTATATTTATTCTCTATGTAGTTTTATATAGCCTTGTTGTCTCTGCTGTTAGCATGTAAGTTTCTTGAGAAAAGTAGGGATTGTCTCTTAGTTTTTTTGTGTCTATAGCAACTAGCACAGGGCCTGGCAAATAGAAGGTGCTTAAGAAATGTATGTTGATTGATAAAAAGTGTCTGATTAACCCTGGCTTGGTCCTTTGCTTTCCTGCCCTAGGATGTTACAGGGAGGCTCTGCGGATAGTAAAGAAGATGGCGGACCCCAGTTTGCTGAAGTTTTTGTCATCATCTGGTTTGGTGCAGTTGTCATAACACTAAATTCAAAACTTCTTGGGGGGACCATGTGAGTATTGGGGAAATGCTTAAAGCCAACCCCTTTTCTCTCCTTTCTATGTAGCATATCTAGCGTTCTGGCACAATCAGACTGACATTGCTGGCTAGTCTTTGAAAGGGAGGCCCTCCCTGCCAAAGAGATCTTTCTCTCTCTCTCTCTCCCTCCCCCTCTCTCTCTCTCTCTCTCTCTCTCTCATTGGTAGAAGTGCCAAGCAGAGGGCACCCAGGTGATCTTCATCACCTTTGAAGCCTCCTTCGGGGAAGAAGGCCTCTCATTCCCCAAGGTAGGCAGCTCGCTGCTGCTGTTAGTGATTAAAGAGGTCATTTAATTAGGAGAAACATCTTCAAGGGGAAGTGAACAAAGAACAGAAATGTTTTCATGAATTGCAGTACCTTTTTTACACTGGAGCTCAGGGCAGGTCCATTCATCTGGGGTGGTCTGCCATGTTCTAGCAGGCTGTTATTACCTTGTGGGCTTGGTGTGGGTCTTCCGTGTTGTAGTTGGGTCTCTGAAATACCCTCGTCCTGCAGTGATGGGCTTTGACTGGTGAATAATTGGTTTTTCTTTAACTTTCTGGCTTTGTCTTTTCCTCAGATCATTCTTTCAGAGTCTCTGTGTCTTGGGTTACTGTGTCTTGCCCTTAACAGTGGCTATGCTGGTGTGCCGACTGGTACTTCTGGCTGGTATGGGACCTATCAACTTCCTTATCCGGCTTATCGTGGTGATTGCGATGTTTGTCTGGTCCACCTTAGGTAAGAAAACATCCATTTTCTGATTCTTCAACAAGACAGAACATAGGTTAGAGGTAAAAGTATGTCTGGGAGCTCTGTGCTTTATGAAGGCAAATGTTGGGGTCTCTGGTAACGTAGGATTTGGAACCAAGAATAGGGCTAAAACCTTAGTATCCCTTTGACCAGGAGCTAGTCATTTAGCCTCTCTGGGCCTCAGTTTCTTCATCTGTCAAATGAAAGGCTTGGACTAAATGGTCTCTAAGGGTCTATAACACCTTTAGGTCTGATCCTGCTTGTGCCCTTGGGCAAATCACATTCCCTTTCTGGACCTTGGTTTCCTCCCTTGTAAAATGAGGGGATCAGAGTAGGTGGCCTCTGGGGTCCCCTCCAGCTCTATATCTAGGATTCTCTGAGCTTTCTTTTTTTTTTTCTTTTTAGGCAATTGGGATTAAGTGACTTGCCCAGGGTCACACAGCTAGTAAGTGTCAAGTGTTTGCTCCGAGGCCGGATTTGAACTCAGGTCCTCCTGACTTCAGGGCCGGTGCTCTATCCACTGTGCCACCTAGCTGCCCCTTAGAATAAAGAGTGTTTATTATTATTCAGTCATTTTTCAGTTGTATCCAACTCTTCATGACCCTATTTGGGGTTTTCTTGGCAAAGATACTAGAGTGATTTGTCATTTCCTCCTCATTTTACAGGTGAGATAACTGAGGCAAACAGGGTTAAGTGACTTGCCCATTATCACAGAGCTAGTAAGTGTCTGAGGCCAGATTTGAACTCAGGAAGAGGAGTCTTCTGACTGAAGACCTGTCACTCTATCCACTGCACCATCTGGCTGCCCTCTCTGAGCTTTCAAATAGGAATATTCTTGTACTAACGCCTCATGGCTTTGTCATGAGAAAAGAGCTCTATAAACATTAAGATGCTATAGAATTATTGCCTGTTTTGATCTTAAGTTCCTGACCGGTGCTTTCCTGTAGACAGGCGCTTTCTGCCATTGGCACATACTAGTCAGAGGACAATCCCACCTACTAAGGAGTAGGTACACGGGCTTTCGAGGTGAAAATCTCATCTTTTAAAAAATAATGGACAAGCAAGGCTCTCACATTAAACTGAGTTAGTATCCTAAAAAGGCTTAATTAACTCTAACCCAGGGAAGGTTCTCTTCAAGATGGGGCAGACTGGACTAGCGATGGATGCTGCATATTCTTAGTATCATTGATTTAGAACTGGAACGGCCCTTAGAGATCAGAGTCCCCTTGTTTTACAGAGGAGCAAACTGAGGCCCAGGGAGCTTGTGACTTGTCCCAGGTAAGATTACACGGGCAGTAAATAGGAGATCTCAGATTCAAAATCAGGTCCCCTGATGTTATATCTAACACGCTTTTTACCACATCATACCAGAGCAATTGCTTTCACATTATCAAAATTTACTAAAAACCCAAAGCCCCTCTGGAAGCTAACCAGCCTAATCTTTTGAAGTTTGGTGAGACTTTACTTATCTAGATCCTAATCAGGATTTTTTTAAAGGCCTTCTAAGCAGCCAGAACAGGGGGGTCAAGGTCCATGCACTAAAATCTCATCTGAATCTCCTTTGACCCCCCCCCCCCCCAATTCAGTCAATCAATAAGTGCTTCTATGTGCTAGGCATTGTGCTGGGTACTCAGGATATTGAGACTAAGTTAAATAGTCCTTGCCCTCAAGAAGATTACATATAGAAAATAGATACAAGATAGTTGCCCAGGGAGGACACCTGCAGCTGGAGGAGAGAGAGCAGGCACACCTTCATGTAGAAGGGACTTGAGGACTTGAGCTGGGTCTCAAAAGAACAAAGGAGTGCTCTTGAGGCAGAGAGGTAAAGAGGGAGACCGTTGTAGTAATGGGAGATGGGTGGTCACGTGTGAGGAAAGGCACAAAAGCCATTCTGGCTAGATTAAAATGTGGGAAGGAGACAATGTCTAATAAGGCCAGAAAGGGAGGTTGGGGCCAGTTTGTGAAGAACTCCAACTGGGGAATAGTGAAGTTGATGTCTGATCCTAAAGACTTAGGTTGGAAGCCTGAGTGACTTGGAGGTTGGTGGTCTCCTTAACAGTAACAGGGAAGTTAGGAAGAAGGAAAGATTTTAGGGGAAAGCTCATGGGTTCAGTTTTGGACATGTTGAGTTTGAGATGTCTATAAGACATCCAGTTTAAGCTGTTCAGTAGGCAGTTAGAAATGGGAATCTAGAGGCAGAGAGAGAGGTTTAGGGCTAGATAAGCAGATCTAGAAATCATAAGCATGAAGGTGATAATTGATTCGTGGGAGTTGATGAAATCAAGTAAAAGAGTATAGAGAGAAAAGGGAGCCCTGGGGGACACTCCCCCACCCACCAGATGTGACCTGCATGAAGATCTAACAAAGGAGCCAGAGAAGGAGTGGTCAGACAGGTAGGAGGAGGACCAGGAGAGAGCTGGGTCACTAGAGAGAATATCAAGGAAGAAGAGAGTGATTGAGGGTGTCACAGAATACAGAGAAGTCAAGAAGGATGAGGATTAAGAAAAGGCAGAGATCTTTGGTAACTTTGGAAAGAATTGAATTGAATTGAAATGGAATTTGAATTCATTTGAAATTGAAATGGAATTGAATGTTGGGAACCAGCCTGCTAGAAAGGTAAGAAGAAAGTGAAAGGAAAGAAAGTCCAGACATCCATTATAGAGGGCCATCTCAATGAGTTTAGCCTACAGCTGGGGAGGAAAGAAAGATAGAAGTGCTAGGGATGGAAAGATCAAGGAAGGGTTTTTTGAAGATGAGGGAAACAAGAGCATATTTGTAGGCAGAGGGAAGCGACTCCAACAGCCTCAAGTTTCTCATTGAAATATGAGGCAAAGTTTCCAACTGAGGGGCAGGAGGAGAAATGTGAGGTTTGAGGAAGGGTAAAAAGGTATGGAAGAGCCACAGTGGTAAATGGGATAATGAATTGAGTAGGGAGATGTAAAAGATTTGCCTTGCTGTAGGGAGGCTCCACTTGAGATTATGGGACATAAATTTGTAGAAGACCAGTCAACGTAGTTTTGCAGTTTTCTTAAGTTATGTTCAACAGCATGAGAATAGGAGTGGAGGCAGAGAATGGTAGGATTAATTCAATGTTGGGGACAGAGTATGATCAATGATGAGGTAAGGGTCACGGAACTTGAGAGAAGAGGACATTGTAGAGTTGCATTGGTTCACCAAGAGGTCTAGATGGAAAAAGAAGGAGAGTGGTACCAGTATAGAGGTAATGGCCTGGGAAAGGACTGAGGAGTAGAGGGATTGAAGGTCAGGGTGGGCATGAAGAACAGGGTGGAGAGTTGCAAGGCAGAAGGGGAATTGGATTGACAACAGATTGTGGTTAAATAAAGGAATTGCCGAGTTCATGAACATGTGTGAGGCACACGTGTGGTTGATGACAAGCTCAACAGTATGACCATCTTGTGTATAGCTGAGGTGAGGTGGAGAAGGAGTTCATGGGAAGTGAGAAGCTTCCCAGTAGTAACTGGGAAGTTAGATTGTTTGAGGGAATATCGGTAATGTATGTTGAAATTCCCCAGTATGAGGGCAGGAGAGGAACACTGTGAGCCAGGCACTGAGCTCGTTGAAAAAGAATGACCGTGTCCAGGACTTGGGGAACGGCAGCCACCGGAATCTTGATTGAGGGATACACACAGATTGAATGCAACTCAGAGGAATCAGGATTATGGAGTGATGGTGGTAGAACAAAAGGCTAAGAGTGACCAGTCATGGAATGTGAGTGAAAGTGCAGCCAGTGCTGGAAAGGGCCCCCTGAGATGGGTTGTCATCAGGAGGGAGCCTGTATCAATAGGAGTGAGAAAGGAAAAGGTTTCTGATGAAAGCATGTTTGTTATCTATGGAGCAAGTATTCCAGAGCGCACAGTGGAAGAGCCGGGTAGATCTCTGGTGGGATATTGTGGAAGTTGAGTTGAACTGGATGTGGGAGTTAGAGAGCAGGTAGTGGGGGATGGGGAACAGGGTTTCACAGCCATGGTCCCCATTGCTACCAAAGTGATCTTTCTAAAGCTTACAACTGACCTTGTCATACGCCCCTCACACTCTAATTCCATTGATTCCCTATTGCATTAAACAGGCGCCCCAAATGAGGAAAACCCAGTAATCTTGGTCGTTTTAGTACAGGGCAAACAGCCCGATATAATTCATTACATCCTGAAGGCCTTGCTGTGCAGTGGAGAACAATACGTGGCACTTGAGTGATGACCTTGAATAAGCAAGAAAAGATTTTGTTTTGTATTCATTCTTTAGGTTGGCAGGGAAGTGGGCCATCCTAAATTTTGGGAAGAAAATGGCTAAAGTCCAGAATATTTTAGTATTGGTAAGAAATCTCTCTTCATTCCCCCAGGGTTCTAAACAGCTGAGGTTGACTGACCTGTGTTTGAGATCCACCGTAGATTTACCTACTAGGGTTTATTCAGTGTTATTCTCAAGGTGACTTGAGAAACAAAAGTGATTTAGTGGGCAGAACACTGGCCTTGGAATCAGGAAGGTCTGGGTTTGAATCCTTTCTCAGACACTTACTAGTTGTTTGCCTTGGGTTAGCCTCTTCCCCTCCCTAGGCCTCAGTTTTCTCCTCTGTAACACGAGGGGGCTGGACTCCATGACCTCTAATGCTCATGCCAGGTCTAGAGCCAGGACTAACCTTTGCCAATTTGTTTTTTGTTGTTGTTCAGCATCCACAGCGTTCCTGGCTGATAGCCAGCCTCCGAATCGAAAAGCCCTTGCTGTCTACCCCATCTTCCTCTTCTACTTTGTTATCAGCTGGATGATTCTCACCTTTACACCTCATTAAACCAGGACACAAGAGAAGCCAAAGAGCCCAAGCAGAACAGAAGACTCCAGCTCCGCTTTGGGCCTTTGCCTCCTGTCTCTCCTTTCTTGACTGTCAGAGGGAGCCTGGACGTGGTGAAGGGGTAGAGGTGATGGTAGGGATTGGGGGGCAAGAGAAAGCCAAGGTCGTGCAGCAACACCAGCAAAGCAGTTGCTTGACAGGGTTGGTACTTTGATTTTTCTTAATATGATTGTTTCTTTAAAATACACATACAGCCAAAGTACTACCCTACTCAAGGATTATGGTTCACTGTGTCACATGTGTGTATGTGTGTGTGAAGGTGGCCACAGGAGTGACATGGTGATTGATTACACATTGAGTTAGAGACCGAAGTTAAGTTCAGACAACATCAGTTCATGCACAACTTTCTCTTTCAAACATACTGCCTTATCACCATAGGGTGTATTTCTCTCTTTTGGCAAGGGAGGGTGATCTGTCTTTTTGTCTTCTTCCTTTCCTCTTTCTTTTTCCCCTTTTTCCTTCCCTTTTTGAATATATGGAGGAGTAAGGGGAGATTCATAGAACACGTGGAAAATGAAAACACTTTAATTGAAATTCAAGTTGTACTCTAAAGAATTTGGACAGGCACCATTTTCTTTGTAAAGCACATGTGAGGAACCCTGTCTTTTTTGGACCACGTAAACCTCGGACTGTCTCTGTGCATATGCATATTGCAGTCATGCCATGTGTTCTGACAAAAGCATGCCAACCTCTTGGTAGCACTCCAGCTCCTTATCTTACTCTTTAGCCCTGAATGTGCATGCTGGGCTATTCGGAGCCAACGTGGAATTTTCCTTGGGCTAAAGCAATCAGCATTGAAACCCTTGAACTTACCCTAGTAGAAGACTTTTGAAAACTTAGGTAGGCAGGTCACTAATGCACATTTGTATCACTGTATAATAAGCACATTCTCTTAACTTCAAAGTCGGATGTTTGGAATATAGAGTAACTGCAAGGAATTCCTCCCTCCGAAATGAGTCTCTCCTGGTGGGAGGAATTCTAGAAGGTGCAGATAAGAACTCGGATGGGGTTTTAAAACCCACGATGGCATTTCATGTCTTGATGGCTGCCTGATAAGGGAACTCAGAGAGGGACTTAGGATCTCCCGCGTAGTTAGCTGTAGTCTCTTCACAGAAGCAGGAACGCTTTTTTCACTGGACCTCTTCCTGGTGGGGAACAGCAAATGATTTCCTTTAGCTGTAGACTGGATTTATTTATAAAGACAGCTTAACTCTTCGTTAGCTGTACACTCTTTGCCCTGCTTTACTTGTTGGATATTTGTCCTCCTAGGATGGTAAGTAAGGCCTTTCAAAAGCACTTGGAAGAGAGGCTGGCCTAAGACGGGCTCTGAACCATTTGGGAGCTCCTTTAAAGGAGAGGTCTAGGCTCCTCTCTTTGGTGACATTGCACACTGGAGAACGGTGGCAGGCAAACGTCCATTCTGTCAGAGGGCATTTGTTGCAGGTGCACAGTTAATTCTGTAGATGACCATAACTTAGCCTGTGCATTTTCTATGTCATACACTTAATAACTTTCTATTTAAAGGTGAGCTGTATATTAAGAGTAGAATAGTTTGATTTCCTATATTAGCCTAAGAAAAATGGTCCCTAGACTGACCGATAGCAATAAAGGCCTTGTTAAATGAGCTTTTCTCCTTTCCAGCCCCGGTTAAAGTTTTGCTTTCTCCATTTTTATTTATTTATTACAGTTCACCCTTAAATGCTTATGTAATTTTCCACATCAAGATAAATTCAGCACTTAAGTCTTGACCTAGAAGATATTTTGAACCACCTAAGTGGATCCTAACTTGTTCACACTAAAAATATCTCTTCCTTTAGAGTTCCTCATAATCAGTTCTGACAATTATGTGAATTTATTTTGAAGGAAAGACTGTTTCCTGGGTCACTGTTTTTTCAAAGGGAAGGAAGGAAGCCTATTCTGATACGCATTTTACTCGAAAGTCTGAATATTTGGTTGGAAGCAAGTAAAGCCATGACTTTTTGATTTTGCCTTTTTGTTTTTTATAACTTTTCTTGTGTTTCAACATGTCTTATTCTGTGTTCACTAGTTGCTCTTAGGTAATGTGGATGACTTCTAGAACAGGGTGGTTTTTTTATTTACTTTCTATTTTCGTCAATTTACTAATAAATTTGTTTCTTTTTTCTTTAGATATGAAAGTTTAAAAAAAACAAGTGGAGGTGGGTCAGTCTGAGGTGTAAAATCTTTCCTTAACAAATGTGAAATGCTGAGGCCTTCAGAGCTGGTCCAGTCTACAGGCCAGAGCCTCTGAAAGCCAGAACCCTTGTTTGTCATTTTCCTGATTGTGAGTCCAAAGGCAGACAAGCTTGATACTGTCACTGCAGAGCATGGGGCAGCGATGCCCACATGCATCAGTGGTCACTATTAACTGCTTGTGAGGTCAAGAATGTCTTGTCACATCCTTTTGTGATAAGATCGGACTTAGGAAAGCAGTTATTTGATGCCAGCATAATTGAAGGTGCAGCTTACCCTTTCAAAAGGAATCTCTAGGCCAGCGAGTCGTCCTTCCTTTGAGAAACTTGTTGTGCAAGGTGGGCTCGATTGTTTTGTCGTTGCAGAGGGTGGCCAACCGTTGGCTGTATTTCTCACATCAAAGTCCACCAAATGGATAGAGGGGATTAATTCAAGTACGCTTGATAATCATGCTGCCCAGCATAAGGAGACTATGCCTTTGATCATTTATTCCTCCAAATGGACAGCTAAGATCTAGCATTTCTTTTTCCTGAATAACCTCAAGCATAATAGACATTTCTGTAAAGGCAAGCAAGGTTTAATGGCCATGTGTTGCAAAAGCCTGTTTTTTTTTTTTAAACACTTAACATCTTGAATCCAAATTGGACTATTGGATTCTGAGAGAATTTTACTGAGAAATCTGAGTGCTCTTGGGCTCAGAGGGTCAAGAGATTTAGAGCTGAAAGGGACCTCAGAAATCAACTAGGTCAACCTCCTTATTTTGCAGAGGAGGAAACTGAGGCCTAAAGAGGAGAGGTGACTTACCCAAGTCAACATATGTATAAATAGCAGAGCCAGGATTTGAATACAGGTCCCCTGACTGTACTCTTTCCACGGTAAATGACTTTGTAGATGACATGAATTTTAATTAGTAATCGATTGTTTCTATTAATAACCAAGCTTGGCTCTGAAGAAGAGAGGAGGAAATGTACTGCCTTCTCTTTTTTTGCAGAGACGGGAGTAGGGATGTGGAGCATTACATATACTGTCAAATTCTGTTGATGTGTTAATTTTGCTAAACTGCCTTTTCTTTAACACATATTTTTTGTTATAAGGGGTGGCTCTCGGGTGGGGTTGGGGTGGGTCATGTTGGGAAATAAAAGTGATGTAAAAAAAATCAATAAAAAATTTTTTAAAATCGCTCTGGGAAAAAAATTCTAATTATTCAGAGTATTTCAAAATGTCAGTAGCTGTTATGGGACAATTGATTTCAGCTTAATTTAATGCTAGCAAAGAGCACTAGATTGGGAGTTGGGCAATTTCGAATTGGATATTTGTTTTCTCTACTTAACCTTGGGTGAGTCATTTCACCCTGGGCCTCAGTTTCCTACTCTGTCAAATTATGATTTCTAAGGTTTCATCCAGCCCTGAATCCTTTTCATAGGCTCATAGATGTTGAGCTGGAAGGAGCCTTAGAGACCTGCTAGTCCTCTCGTTTTATACAGGAAGAAACTGAGGCCCTGGGAGAGCTAAGGTCAGGCACAGGATTGTAGATTGACAGCTAGAAGGGACCTGAGAAATCTAGTCCATTGGTGTCAAACTGTAAATAGAAGCAAACTGGACCGCTAAACTGTAAATAAATAGACTGCGTGTTGACTTAGAAAACCACATATTAATATTAGCTATGTTCTATTGCATTTTTATTTACTTTGTTAAGTATTTCCCAATGATATTTTAGTCTGGTTTGGGCTGCGCTTGCAAGTGTTGTGGGCTCATGAGGCCTGGTGTTTGACACCTCCAATCTAATCCAGTCTCTTCATTTTGCAGATGAGAAAAGGAACTTGGAGGTTGTAACTTGCCCAGTGTCACATAGATAAGTGGTCAAGCTGGAATTTGAACCTGGGTTCTGTTTCCAAATCTAAGGTTCCTTCCACTGCCCCTTCCGCCTCTACAATCTCCTGCAATTTCACTTCCACAGATTCAACTACTGCCCCTGTAGATGATCCCCAGTTTTTTTTTTCCAGTGTTGATCTCTCTTCTGAGCTCATACTGTCTGACACACCTCCCCACCCCACCCCCCGCGCGCGCGCGCGCGCACACACACACACACACACACACACACGACCCCGTTTGGGGTTTTCTTGGCAGAGATACTGAAGTGGTTTGCCATTTCCTTCTCCAGCTCATTTGACAGATGAGGAAACTGAGGCAAAGAGGGTGAAGTGACTTGCCCAGGGTCACCCAGCTAGTAAGTGTCTGAGGCAGGATTTGAACTCACTGAGAGTCCTCCTGACTCTAGGCCCAGCACTCTGTCCACTGCAGCGCCATCTCGCTGTTCCAGCCTTTTCTCTACCTACAACATAGCAAACCCAGTGTGGCTGAAACAGCTTATCTTTTGCCTCCAAATGGCTTTTGATTTTACTATTGCTGTGTACGGTATCATACTTTGCCTGGTTGTTCATATTTGTAGCATTGCGGCTGCTTCTCCCCTCACTCATATCCATTCAGTTACTGGATTTGGTTGCTTCTACTCTGGTCACATTTACATTTTTTTCCTTTTCTGACTCATTACCCCACACCTAGGCAATTGCAGTATCTTAAAAGATATTTCCACCTCTATGCTTCTCGTCCAAGTTGTCCGTATTGCTGCCAGAATAATCTAAATGTAGGTCATTCCTTGACTCAACAATCTTCATCAGCTCCCTATTGCCTCCAGAATCAAATTCACGTTCTTTAACCAGACATCCAATCTGGCCTCAGATTATTAATATTATTGTTACTTTTCTGATCTTAAATCATTCTCCACGTTATACTCCAATCAAATTGGTCTACTGGGTCCACCAAAATGCTCTACACTCCTGCAGCTCAAAACGTCCCCATCTTTGTCCAGTTAAATTCCAAATCAAACATCACCTCCTCAGTGAAATATTCCTTGGTCAGTAATGATGTTCCTCCTTGGGCCTTAGACCTTTGTTTTAGGATTGTGAGGTCATGAATCATAGATTTAGGAAGTGACTAGAGGGCATTGAATCCAGCCCCTCGTTTTCCAGATGAGGAAACTGGTGTCAAGGTTAGGGTTCAAATCCCATATCTGATGCTTGAATACTGCCTGTGTGACTTGGGGTAGGTCATTGCCCCCTCCCTGGGCCTCAGTTTCCTCATCTCTAAAATGATGAACTAGACCGCCTCTGAGATCCCTTCCACATTTACATCTATGGTTTTCTAAGAGCTTAAGTGACTTGCCTAGGGTTACACAGTAAATAGCTGACCTAGGATTTGAATCCGGGACTCCCAAGTACAGCTTCTATCCACTGTACCACACTGCCACCTTTGTCTCTGTTTCTGTCTTATACACCTGCTAGATTGGGGACCTTCCCTTCCCTTGCCCCAGCTCTCCAATTGGAGGCCCAGTGAGCCAGCAGCAGCAGGCCTCAGGGAACCCTTTCCCTCTTCCATTGTGCAGTTCCCCATAGGCAGTTAACATTTACTTTTTTTTTTTAATTTTTTTATTCTAAATTTAAACAAATTTTTCCACATAGAACACAAAAAGATTCTGAAACTGAATCTCCTTTTCATATTGCTTTTAAAAAATAAAAATATATAGCAGATTCTACACAGTATCTTCAAAACTGTCCTGCTCATCTGTGCTGCCTTATGAACTCTTCTGTGCATTGTTTAAAAAAATGGTTTTTTTTTTCCCCCGTGGCCCTCCCCACCCCTACTGAAAACAGAAAGAAAGGGAGGGAAACCCCTTTTAGTCAATTAAGCATAGTCAAGCAAAATGAATCCTACCTAGTGGCCATGTTCAAAAATGTATGACTGCATCTTACTGGATCTTGATTCTTGGCTGGATGCTAGAACCCCACCCCAACTTCCTTATTCCCGCTTTTGTCTGAGACACCCCAGAGCTCCACTCACTGATCTTGGGCCTGCTACTCCCTTCCCAGCAGTCATTAGTCAGGGACCATCTGCTCTGCCATGGCTCCCAAAGATTCACTGGGCCTTACCATCTGCCCTGCTGCTTTGCCTGCATGAATGCAATGCATGCAGAAGCATTTATTAAGCACTCTAATACGACTGATAACAACTAGCATTCATATAGTGCCGTACCATGTTGTATACCATGTAAGCCATGCTGGGCTTACAAATAGAAAATCAATACAGCCCGTGTTCTCCATGAGCTCGCTTTCTAAGCCAGGGAGACAACACACGTGGGAGGTTTTATCTGCGTGTCAGATCCATGGTGCTCAGGGTACAGAAGCAAAGCATATGGTAGTGCATCTTCTGTGATGTAGCTGCCATTGAAAATGAAGTTTCTATTTCCTACCAGATACTCAGTACCACCTGGCCTTTCCATCTGCCATGAGGCTGAACCCCCCCCTTTATGTATTGCCTTCCCTAATTAGAATGTGAGCTCCTTGACAAACAAGGACTGTCTTGATTTTCTATTTGTGATCCCAATGCTTTGCATATAGTAAGAACTTAATAAAAACTTTTCTATTCCATCCATTGAGATAAAAATACACAAGCAGTGAAATGAGAGAAAAATACAAAAGAATATGGGGGTTCAGAGGAAGGAGAGATCATATCTGGTTGGAGGTAGGGAGAAATTAAAGAAGGCCCCATGGAGGAGGAAACATACGATGTAGCTTGAAGGATGATTTTTTTTACTTTTTAAATATTTTATTTATTAAACATATTTTTTAAATAAGTCTGTGAAAGGTGAGATTTGGCTTTTGTTGGGTTTTTTTTTTTTGGCTAGGCAATGGGGTTAAGTGACTTGCCCAGGGTCACATAGCCAGTAAGTGTCAAGTGTCTGAGGCTAGTTTTGAACTCAGCTCCTCTTGACTCTAGGCCCAGTGCCCTATCCACTGCACTACCTAGGTGCCCCATAAAGTGAGTTTTGCTAGGCATAGATGGAAGAGCCAGGGATTGTATTCCAGGCAGCAGGAACAGTATTAGCAAAGATATGGAGTCAGGAAAGCAACAGGGCGTGTCTAGGAAATCTTATTCTATATGCTAAATTGGTATATATTAAAGCCTAGTGTTTTATAAACATAAAGAAAATAAAAACTGAGGAAAGGGTTCACTATTTAACAAAACATACTTGTGAAAATGGGTTGTCAAATTTGGTGGAAAACAAATTTAGAGACATATTACACTATACACCCCAGTAAATTCCAGATGGTTGAAACACTTAAATGTAAACAAAAATGGAACAAAGTATCTATTTATCCTAACTGTGGCTTGCCTAAGCTGCTAAAGATAGATGAAACAAAACCAGTAACTGACCTCAAGCGGCTTATATTTTTCTTGGGAGGAGAGGGGGAAGGACATGTAGGAGGATAAATAAATACAAAATATGTGCAAAGTAAAGTGGATGGTACTTTCATATTTTTAACACCAATACCCTTCCAGTGATGCTATATGATTGTGAATCACTGAATGTCACAGTCTCCAAAGAACTTAAGTGGGTGACATAAGGAAGCTGTGGGACATTGCCAAAGAAGAAGTATGCATCTAAAGTGGTATCAAAAAGCTGCCATCGGATTTGGTACTGGTTGAAAAATAGAGAGGTCTACCAATGGAACCGATTAGCTACACAACATACAGAAGCTAACAAACTCGGTAAACTAGTGTTGGATAAACCCAAAGCCTCCAGTTACTGCTGGGAGAAGTATCACTATCTGACCAAAAGTGCTGGGGAAAGTAGACTTAGACATAAAAAATGACATCATAATTCAATGAGAGGACCAAGGAAGAAATAACCTTTGAGATCTATGGATAGGAGATTTCATGAC